TAATAAAAAATTATTGAATTGTGCTATAATTTATTATATATAAACATATATATATATACATATATATACATATGTATATATATATATATATATATATGTATGCATGTATTTATTTATATATACATGTATATTTATTTATATATTTATTTATATGCTTATTTATATATTAATATATGTATGGAAACACACCTCCGCTAGGGATAACTAAAGATAATAATACATTTTGAGAAAAATAAAAACCTCCCCGTCGAGATTCTAACACACGATATTATGAAACCGACTATAAAAGTGGAATGATAAATTTGAAATAAAAACAAAACACTATACAAGACCACATAAGTAATACGGAAGCTTATGGAAATGAAGTAAATTAAATAAAGCAATTAAAATTGCCTTGTAAAGACTAGAGAGACGGTTGAGAGCCCCATAAAAATCGTAAAAACAAAGTTGGTTTAGATAACGAAAATTAAGTTTATGAAAAAGAGGCTTTATATATGCGTTCTGTACTCACCAGAGATACGAATAGCCCGTTTTTTTTTGTTTTTTTTTGGTTTATACAAACTATGTAAGAGTTAAAAACTGTTCCAGGACATAATATTTTAATCTTATTAATGTAACACCCCATACAATGTTATTATAGGCAATGCAATGCAATACTAGATAATTGTATATATGCAATACTAGATAATTGTATAAAGTAAAAACATTTTTAGCTTGAATGATGTTTATTATTGATAATAATAATAATAATAATAATAATAATAATAATAATAATAATAATAATAATAATAATAATAATAATAATAACAATAATAGTATATTATCATTACGCATATTATAAGTTATATTTATATACTTAAATATTAGTTATTATATAGGGTGGTGGATTCATTGCTAGTTGGCTATAAGGAAACTACTTGATATGTAGTTGAAGGTTAGAAGCCCAGTGACTCCATTATAATATCCATATAACATACATCATGAAATATAACAACGTACATTAATAATTGACAATTTCAGAAATATAAAATCATTTAACTTACCAGCGTCATAAGAAATATAATGCTAATGTTTAATAATACAAACGAGAAAAATGGCGTCATGTTTAAGTCGTCCTTTATTTATGTCTTTAGTTGATCAGCAGGTCCCCTTTACTAATTGGAGTAGAGTATTTGACCTGAATAAGGAGTTCAAACCAAAGCTTCAAAGCTTTTGCTGAAGGATTTCCGCAGTACTTCCGCCCCGGAAAATTTACCAATACACCTTTTCTACCAGCATACCTTTCGAGTCAACAAGTAAATTTTCCATGAATAGATTGATTAAAGAATTAACATTTTAATTCCATGTTCTACATTTGGTTAAAGGGGCGCAGCTAGAGGGGTCAGGGGGATCCTGGCCCCCCTCAATTTTTTTAAAATATCTCGATTATAGTAGTAAACGATCGGTAATGTGAAAACAAATATAATTTATGAAATGTAAGCCATTTTCATTTTATGATGATTTACATATTAACTGCGTGACACTTGCTATGATAATTAAAGTTAAAATAAAAACATTTTGTTACAATCATGGTAACTCTCTGCATGGTTACCCGTATCGAGGTAGCAAGTGAAAACACTGAAATTATTACGGTATTATTTGGTATAATCAGGAAGTGTAAATTAAATCTTCCCTGGTACAGTATAACAGTTTAACCTCCCTGTGCGACCACCTCACGTAAGCGATCACCTCCATTAACGTCCACTCTCATATTGTCCCGTTTGTCTAATCAGTGCATTTGATACTTCTCGTAAACAACCACTAAATGAATTAACAATTTGTACCGTACTCGCGCGAATAAGTGCCCCG